AAATGCATTATATCAATCATAAATAGCTGACATTGTGAGTACGTTTTCTTGATATTTGATAGTCTACAGAATATTTTCTGATCTATTCCTTTTTGTTTTTCAGCGAATATAGGTGGAGAAAATATGTACACAATTTAAACATGGGGTACTTGCGTATTAACGCCAATCGCAGATACAGATTTGGCGGTTTTTAAGTGGCGCCAATCTACACTTAAAAATTTTCGTGACAAATCATAAAACATATAAAACGCTTCATTTAAAATCAAAACACTTTCAGAATTCAAAACAATTTATTTAAAAACGTCAATCGGATTTCGGTGGAAAATGGGCCGATATAGAGTTTAACATACATAGATTCAAAACATGGCTCTATTTTGGCGCATTGGCAGCCCTTTATTGGCGCATTAGCCCACCTTCTGCCGCGGTGGCGTTAATACGTAAGTACCAAAAAGGGATAACAGGTTAAACTAATTTTTCCGATTTTTCCGGACATGGGTTGTTTATGCCATGTCACTCTTGTCGTTGAGATCACTGGCCTGGTGTCGCAAAGCGACAAAAATCTGGGCGATATCTCACGGACGAATTCAATGACCTGGGATGAAGAATTACCGAAACTCAACAAAGGAGCTGAAGGAGGAATGGGAGGAGCAATACATCCTTTGCACTGTTTGTACCTCGTCAAGTGACAGTCAATTGCCAGAAGATGAATCCAGAAAATTGTTTCAGAGTTGCGCTAAGAAAATTCATATAATTTAATGCAAGATACACAGTCCAGTCACGTTAATGTGACCGTCACCTACTTTCGACGTCAACGTCAAGTAACCCCCCACAAAAGACATTCCACTTAATACGACATTCCACTTAAAGTTGGAACATACCAGAGTGTATATTCTGGCTATTGACAGGTGTGTATAATTATAGATAATGCAATATATGAATAGATCATTGATAAATCTTTGTCAATTCCTGGCCCTGGTTGTGCCGCAACTACAGTACAGGCAATGGTCGATGAGACACTTTTGCTCCACGGAGGAACGCATCGCTCTTTTATTAGTTCACAATCGCCGGATCTAACTCCGTGCGGCTTCTTAAAAAAATCTGATTGATCGTGGAGTTGCTGTGACGTTAGTACAGGGATGGGCAAATTACGCCCCGCCGGAAGGCTCTATCCGGCCCGCGAATAGAATTTTAATTTTCCGGTCCGAGGCGAATTAAAAGAAATATATATTTATATATTATGCATCCATCTCCTTTTCTATTTTGATTCCATATTATTTTTTTATCTTCCTTTTTTTTCAAAGGATCTTTTCACTTTCTCTATTTTTGTTCTGCAAAACATAAATCGACGGAAATAGCAGCCACAGACAGCTTTCAATCGGTAAAGTTTTAAAAGCGGAAGTTCTTTGTTAGTTATAGAAGTTAAAAGTTCACAAAGAATCATTATCGAAAGTAAGTTTTTCAAATTGAATATCTCACGCCCAGAAAATCAGTTCTCTGTTTGCTTCATCTTATATACGTGAACAAGTGTTTTCAACTACTATGGACCTTAGAAAGAACTATTTCAGAAGTAGGCTGACAGATGAGCATTTAGCCTCGTTCCTTAGAATCAGTCTATCTCACTATAATTAGCTTTTAAAAATGAAATCGCAATTTCATTCATCTCATGAACACATTTAAATTGTGATACTGGTATAGTTTTTTTAAAATTTTAGAAAAAATTATTTTGGCCGGCCAAACTTTTTTTTTTTTACGATTTTCGCTAACTCAAAGTGAAAATATGGAACTAATTCAAGAGAAACTATCATAGCAACTTTTATTATTTCACATGTAATTTACAAACTTAAAAATGGGAGGTGAAATAAGTGGAATAGTCTCTATAATTCTATAGAGCCTCTTTTCATCTAAATCCGGCCCTGATTGGAAGTACTGGCAGTGTTTGTTTGCCAGGATAAATGCGTAAATGGTGAACATACAAATAAGGATTGTTTCTGAAAGTTAGTAGATTTGGTATTATTTTTTATGTCATTACTATATATAGCAATTTAAATAATTTGGAAAGGAAAAAAAAGGGTCATTCTTATTAAGTTTATAAATAAACGAGCTTAGCGATCATTCACAGAGAAAAAAATAAAAATAAAGATGTAATTCTTCAACTTTCTTGTCGGCTTGACACAGTAAGGTTAACAGAGATTCCTATTTCAGAATATTCTATATAAAAACAGAAATGTGAACATTATGAACTAACAATAGTTAACCTAAACGCTAAACTTTCGACATTAAATAAACATGAAATATTTATTATTCAAAGTTAATTTTAAGTTAATATCAAGACAAAAAGAATTAGGGTGTGGGGACACCAATAAGAGAGTATATTGTGTTTTCAAATTAATTTTCTTTTCTAAACTTTTCCCTAACTTGAAAAAATAAAGTAAATTCTTTTTTTTTTAGCAATTTTCTTAAACATATGAATGTAAGCTTCTAAGAAAACAAGTAATATAAAAAAAAAATGTTTAAAGTCAATTCCCACTTTTTTTTTCACTCTATTGCAGAAAGTCCTTTATAAATAATTTCAATTTCTTTTTTTTAAGTTTATATGGCGCCATCTATGGGCATCATGCAACTTAAGTCTAAAAAAAACTAAAATTAATTAATAAAATTTAATGACTGAATTAATATTTGAAAAACTGTATTAACATCCAGTGACATCAACTGTAAGTGTAAAAAAAATTTTATTTAAATTTGAGTGGATGAATAAAAAGTATTTTATGAACGAGTGAAAATGTGAACAAGATATATATATAGAGAGTGTGAGCTAATAGAAGGAATTGAACAAAAAAAAATGTAAAATCTATACATGTTAAAACACAAATAAAATTGAATAAACATTGTTCTTGAAAAAGAGAATTTAAAAGATTACCAAATAACCAATTAAAAAAACACATATTTATTACGAAGTTATATTATTAATTACAACTTTTCATATAAAATACAGTTTTATAAATATATACAACATAACAATTAATCATGGATGGGCATTGTTAAATCAAAAATAATATTTATCACTCATAAAAGTAATATATTACAGGGAAATATATTTGAATGTAATATTTTCACAATGAAGACTTTTGATTTTGTGTTGTATTTATAAAGTTTCTAGATCTTTAAATATATTTTTATCCTTTTTTTTATTTCACCTCATTATTGAATTGGCTAATGATAATACAAATTTACAACAGACATTTATTTCAAACAGGCTTCAGAAAAATCGTATGTCTATTTAGGATTTTTAAGTTAATTATTTTCCTCTTCTTTAGAAATACATTTTTTTTTCTAATTGGTTAAAAAAAATTATAATTTTGAATGATAACGCAATTTTAAGTTTTGTTCAAAATTTCTTCCTCCTTCTTACAAGCCCACTTCAAATATCTCTTTGTTTTTCTTTATGCACTTTTTGTTCATATCTCACAATTTTTCTAGTTAAGAAAAGTTCTAAGTTTTCTTCTTTTTATTTCTCTCACTTTGCTTTATAACATATCCTCATTGCAGACAAAGATGGATATAAAGTGCAAAAAAAGAAGAAAGATGTGCATTTTTTTATTTTCAGTCCAGCTTGATCACTGGAGCTGTCACTTTAATTCCAATTAGGCAGCTTATTAAGGATGTAAGGGAAGGCATGCAGGTGTAATGAATGCCTCACTGCAAGTATTCAGCAATAAAGGTGTTTAAGAATTGTTGGTGGTGGTGGTGGTGTAAATATTTTTATTATGACCGCTGAAGAAGACACATTTGAAATCCCTAATGTTGTATTTGGACCACTGAAACAGTCACTGCGGCTATGTATTAAATCCACGCTGCCCTCCACGTGACTTTCCCCTAAAGTATCTACTACCATACTGCACTGCATTACACCACACCCCTGTTCCTATGTGGGTGAATTTGTAGAGACACACCATAAAAATGATTGTTAGATAAAATTAGGTTTCTTTTGTCATCTTGTGCACACATTACTCTAACCAGACCGGGATCTATGGTTTAACGTGGATTCCGAACCACTAACGAACATCCATTCCATCGCCAGGATTCGAACCTGAAGCCTGGGATACCAAAAGCCAGAGCTCTAGCCAGTTGGCCATCAGGCCGCTAGATAAAATCAGGAGAAAAGAGGGAGAAAGGAAATAACGATTATCTGAATCTAACAAGAATGGAAGAGAACCAAGATATTGTGAGAATCGACGGAAATGAACAAAAGAACATCTTCAGTGACCATGAAGGTCATGCTCATGTTCAACGAAGACACTATATTGCAAAAAAAAAAAATGCATACATAAATAAATATAACATAGAACCTAAATAAGTATTAAAAAGTCCGAAATGAAAAGCATTGAAATGTATATGCAATACGTAGGTTGGGTGTGAGTGCATGGAAATAAAATATTTACAGAAAACATAGCATGGAAAATATCTGTGACAAAGTGACACACGCGTCATTTAAAGATGTACACATCAGAAATCGAGACAGACTACTCATCCTTGCAATTCAGATGTATAGACTGAATGATGAGAGAGAGAGAGAGGAATAGCAGCTATCAGGTTATTGTTGTATCCCTCATGGAAGGAAGAAAGAGGGGTGATGGAACATCCGTAAGTAGAAGTCTGATTTCTGCTCCGTAACGCTCTTACAGTCATAGGAGACCGGGACCTACGGCTTAAAGTGGATTCCGAACAGTACAAACATCCATGGCAACGCCGGAACTCGAACCCGAAACCTGTGGAGCTATAAGGTTAATTGCGAGAATGAGTGAGAGAAGACTGATGCGGCATAATTTCATCTACTAAGTGTGCTGTGCTTCGTGCTAGATGTGCTTCTGGAGTGGTTCGCTGACCATGCCCTGCGCCCTACTTGGTCAGCCATTTCTCTGTGAAGAGGAGTGTCCCGAAGACAGCCAGAAGGAAGGACGAGTGGTCGAAAATGACTGTAAATGTTATCTGGAAAGCATAGGGGCTTGATGGCCGAGTGGCTATCGGTACCAAAGGTATCGGGTTCGAATCCCGGTGATGCCCATGGATTTTGTAGTGGTTCAGAATCCACTTTAAGCCGTAGGTCCCGGTCTCATATGACCGTAGAGCACCACGGAGCCCAATCAGACTTCTTCTCACCCACATCATTCCCAAACTGTAAAAGGGGCAACTCAGCTCTAAGGCACAGTGATGTGGTGTGGTGCAGTAGTAGTATCTGGAAAGCATGCTTCGAAACATCCAAGTTATGACATGGACACTTGGTGACGGAATTCTTAATATTCAATTAAATTCTGATTTTGTAACATTTGTTTTCGTTATATTTGTTCGTTTCGTATATTAATTGAAAATATTTGTTGAATAAAATATAATATTGTAAAAGACGTATTTAATAATAATAATAAAAAAAGATGAAATAAAGATTTTTCATGACTGAAAGTCGGCTTGTTTTATTATATAAAAAAAAAAAAAATGATCTACTTGGCATACTACATATAATGGGGATGGGTTTGGGGGATATATAATGATGGATGTTACTTTTTTTTTTATGAAAACTCTGTCAATAATTGCCTTTTTTCGGACCTAAATCCTTTATTATATAGTACATATATATATATATATATATATATATATATTATATATATCTGAATGTTCTATTATATATATATATGTACTATATAATAAAGTACTGCCTTTCTTGGGACCTTTCAAGAACTTAATACTAAGTACGTTTCTGTGATCCATACAACTCATAGGTGCTACGTTGTTCATGTCCTCAACCCTATAATTAGAACTGCCTATGTTGCACTGAGCTGTCCCTCAGAGAGAACTTGGGTCTGGGGGGACCAGCGAGCTCTTCCCGCGCCCCCCACCCCCGCAGTTGCCTCTGCTTCTGTTGGAAAGGGCTGATCTGAGTGAACATACCACCTGCGGTATTCAACACTCCCCTCTTCGACCGCCCATCTTTTTCAACTGGATCTTCAGAGTACTTTTGACCTTGTCCTTCAGGCCTTCCGTTGCACAACTGAGTCCTGCACCCGTAACTCTGGGTGAAGGCGTCCGAAGTGTTCAGTTTCTGCCTCTCCCCCCCGTGGGACGAGTTTCTGTACGGGTCCGCCGTTCGAACCCCTGAAGGGTCCTCGTGGACCCCATAGTCCACCTTGATCCTGGAAGTGTCTTTTGAATTGTCCTCCTCCCCACGAGTCCTTGGAGGATTCTCGTGGATTGAGCAATCCACCTTGATCCTCGACGCGTGTCCAGTCCTGTCCTGGGCACTCGAAGATGTCTGGCTGGAGCGAAGGTTCGAAATCCTTTCCAGTCTAACTGTTGTTGGGTTTTCGATTTGCACCGCCACTGTCTGCTTTGTGGTGGTCAATGGGCTGTTCTTGATGGCTGATCTTTTCTGGAATCTTCCAGAGATTTCCAGCGAGTCTTTGGAGATGTCCGAGTCGTTGGTGTCGTCTTCTACCTGATTGGTCCTGGGAGCAGAAGGGTTGGAATGAGGAATGTCTTGTTGCATCGCTGCTCTATCGTCTTCCATCTCACAAGCCTCCAGCTTATGCGGTACGTGTGGACCGTCCAAGTACCTGAAAGAATGGATGGAATTGTGATCTTTCTCACAAGAAACAAGTAATATAAATAAGTCAATTCCTACTTTTTTTTCACTGTATTACGAAAAGTCCTTCATAAATAATTTTCATTCATTTTTTTAAAAACTACCTGGCACCATCTATTGGTAGATACATGCAACTTAAATCTAAAAAAAAAAGAAACTAAAATGAATTCATTAAATTCAATTACTGAATTAATATCAATATCAATATCAAAGTCAGATCAAGTCAAAAGTCTTCACGATAGCGGCCGCTAGCAACGGAGCCGCTTCACTCTACAGGACTTCTCTCAAGTTGGCCACGATTGGCACCCTACCCAATTGCAAAACATGGGGAGTGAGTGCTGAGCACTCTAGAATGTGCTTAGGTGTTAGGAAAGCGTTGGGCAATTTCGGCAGTTCCTGGTCTTGTCTGGGAGAATACAGTTAGAAAATACAGTTCGTAAAAAAACAGTTCGTACAGTTCGTGTCCTCTGTAATGATTAGTTCTGAGGCTGCTAATGACCGATGTCAACTTCCTAGGGCAGTTGAAGTCCGTGATGAGTGGCTTCTTAAAGTTATGAGGAATGAGTCTGCTTTTGGCAACTGCGTTAGCATCTGCAAGTGTGATGGTAGTCCTGGGTTGATGATTGTCCCTGGCTTCTTTGGCTAAACAGTCAGCGCATTCGCTGCCCTCAATGTTGACATGTTCGGGGATCCATTGAAGATGGCATGATTTGCCTCCAGCAGAACATTTATCGCAGAAGTGATGTTAGTATCTCCATTTTTAATTGCTTCCAGAGCTGACTTGCAGTCAGAAAAAATCACTAACCCGTCAGTGAGGCCTGAGATATGTGAGTCATTTAAATATAAAGCAACAGCCTCTTTAATTACTATGATCTCGCTGGTGAAGTTTGAAGCTATAAGGCCTGTGTTCACTTTATGATGGTATTTACTTTCATTTTCAAGTAGAAAGAAGATGCCTGCACCTCTCTTATTGAGGAATTTGTCCATCGGTGTATGCTATTGCAAAATTACCTTGTGAGAGTATTAAACTATATATGTTGTTTTTAACGTCTATCTGTAAGAAGTTTATCTGTAACTCAAAAATTTCAGAGTGGCCCTCGTATGCTAAATTAATTAGTAATTAATTAAAAACTGATAGCAGAATTCAGAAAGGATTATCACCTGTCGGAGGCCTCGAACTGCGTCTTCCAGCTGGCCTCTGCCATGACGTTGGCGAGCATCTTCTCGTTGAGGGAGCCCGTGGCGCTGAGCAGGGCGGAGACGTCGTGCGGGGGGCGGGGCGTCGCCGCGGAAGGAGGCGGGCGGTCGATCTGCGTGAGGTCGTCGATGCTCTGGGAGCGGTAGAGGGGGTGGAAGAGCTTGTGCCCGCCGTCGCTGAAGCTGCTGCTGCCCAAGCGGCGCGGAGCCTTGCGCTCCAGCTCGAGTCGCACGTCGTAGGGCGAGGCGTAGCTGAGGATGGTGAGAGCGTCTTCGTACACGATGCTGCCGAACGACACGCTCACGCTCACGATTTTGTCCCCTGCAACAAGAAAAAAGGGACATTCATCATTTGTTTAAATTTATTGAATGTTTTGTTATCTCTATGCTAGAGACTAGTTGTGTCAGGATGCAAGATCAATCTCTTTCTCTATATTAATTTGTTATATTACAAAATTAACAATACAACATACACATGGCACCCTGTGCCTCTTCTACAATAGCATTAACAAAACCATGCAATAGCATTAACAAAATCATGCAACAGCATTAAAAACCATATAATACACTGTGTGAAAAAAGTAGAAGGACAGTCATTTTTTTTTTCTACAATATGCTTTTATTTTACTGCTTTTGACCTGATTTTTGTAGAGAGTTGTTTTGTTAGAGTTTTAATTTACGTTAAGTGAAAGTTAAATGAGATTTTTTTACTTACCACCATTTTAACTTAGGAATGCAATACTTAATAACTTTGGGTGTGTGAAAAAAGTAGAAGGACACATCCAAAAAATCTATTTAGAAGCTGTTGGAAAGTTTATAGGTAAGTGTTTTCTCTCTCTTTTAATTCCTTTTTAACAAGAATAAAATATTTAGCTAGAAATTCATAGTTTTTGTTGGTTTTAGGATGCCCAGAGGAATACCCTTAAGTAAGTTTCAGAAGGGCCAAATAGTTGCCTATAAAAATGAAGGCAAAGGTGTGAGAGAGATTGCACGGCAGCTACGAATCAGTCCTAATACTGTTTCGAACTTCATAAGAAACCCTGAAAGTGACAGAAGAAAAAAGAAGACAGGAAGACCAAAAAAAAACTCACCCAACGTGATCAACGAAAAATCATTCGTAAACTCAAAAAGACTGGTGGAAGTGTCGGCAAGGCGCAATTTCAATCAAGAATTACACATACAACCAAAAGAACGGTCTATAACTACATAAAAAGCTCAAAAAAGTTCGTCTTCAAAAAACGGACGCACCATCCAAAGTGGAATGAAGAACCGACTGCAGTGGGCTAAAGACCACATGCCCTGGAGCTCAGAATGGACCTCAGTTATATTTTCCGATGAGAAAAAATTCAATTTGGATGGTTATCAGTACTATTGGCACTTTCTTGGTATTGAAGAAGAAACTTATTCTACTCGACAGATGGGAGGAGGGGGTTTAATGGTATGGTTAGCAGTTGGCTATGGAGGCAGGACAAGTTTAGTCTTTCTAAATGGTAGACAGAACCATACAGACTACATCCAGACTCTAAACTTAAATCTTCTCCCGTATGGCACAGAGTTAGGAGGAGACGACTGGATTTTTCAGCAAGATGGAGCATCATTTCACACTGCAAATGGTGTAAAAGATTGGTTTGCAGCAAACAATGTTCGATTTTTACATTGGCCTGCTAAAAGTCCTAATCTCGACATTGTAGAGAACATATGGGCAATGATTGTATGTCGTGTTTACGAGGGTGGAAAGCAGTTTAAATCTGTAGCTGAGCTGCAGAAATCATTAAACTTTGTATGGGACAATTTTTGCCAAACAAAAATTCAATCTTTATACAGTTCGATGCCAAATAGGATCTTCGAAGTAATTCGACCCAACAGGAAAAGAATTCCATATTAATTTATATAGTACACCTCTTTTTTAGAAGTGTCCTACTTTTTTCACTGATCATGAGATCGTCAAAACCAATTTTTTTATTAAGTATACATTTTTTTTAATTGTGTACTTTTTTCTTTTGTCTAGATACAGGTATCTGCATGTAAAAACGTTGTGAATAAATTAATTGTTTAAAAAATGCGTCATTATTCATTTATCAAAAATAATCTAATGTCCTTCTACTTTTTTCACGTAGTGTAGTATAACCATCAGCACAAAACCATACATTAAAAACCATACAATAGCATTAAAAACCATGAACCGGTCCCTGACCGTCTATCTCGTTCAGACGCTCCTAGCGTTCTCTCTAAATCTAACCGCATGCACTTACCACACTGGACCACACAGT